TTCTGCTTTGGCTTTATGGACTTCAAAGAGATGCAGGCTTTGTTTTGCTGCAGTGTTAGCCTGCATTATGAGCACAGGCCTGAGGATGGATGCATTCATTTAGTAAGAAGGTAAGTCCTGCTATGCCTAATAATGATTAGAGGAAATTGTTCTTGTTTTGTTTGTTGTGGTAGGGGGTTTTTTTGGTGGTTTGTTTTGGTTTTTTGTGAGGTTTTTTGTTTGTTTTGAGGCTTTTTTTTTTGTTTTGTTTTGTTTTGTTTCTAAATTCCTTTACAGCAAATCAAATAGCAGGTAACAAATGACTCATAGCAGCGCCATTGCTGCTTTCATAACTGAGCTTTCAGCTCCCTGGAAGTTTCTGGTGATGGTTCTCTGGATTTGTTGGTGTGGTCATAGTGACTTTTGTGCAGATGGGGTGGATGTCACACGTACAAGGGCCTAAATTCAGTCATCAGAGTCAAACATGGCATAAACAAACATCTTGCTTCTTTATCTGGATCTCCCAAGAATAAGTTTGAAGTCACTTATGTATGTTCATTTCTCCATGCTAACAGCAATTATGCAGCTAGGTAGTAGTTATAAGACTTGCACGTGCTTTTCTTGTGAATGCAAAGTAGATGTGCAGTTTTGAATGGTGAATCTCTAAAGCTGCATTAATACCACTGATAGCTTGGGACTGGCATTCAATACCATATAACCTGGCAAAAAATATCTCTGCCCAAAACGGCAATAAATGCAGAACCTTGTTCCTATTTACACTGTTAATTACCTGTTCCTTCCTACCAAGCCACATATAGTCACTATGATCAAAAATCTTGGAAATTCCAAGGAAGTAATATCTTCTAAAATCATAATGTGTCTGTTGAAGTGAGCTGGGTAACATTCAAGAAGAGGGAATTTTCTTATTAGATGGGAGGGAACCTTCCCCCTTGGGCATGGTAAGATGCTACTGCTTTTTTTGGTGTTCTTATTAAGTAATGAGGTACTCTGAATAGAAGTTCTCTTTATTTCAAACTCAGAGTTTTGGGGGGTTTTGTGTAGAATGAATATCACAGGAAAACAATGCGTAGCTAGGCTTTAAAGCAAAGACTACTTATTCTGGTATGAGATATAGGCTTATGATAGCTTGAAATGTCAAATTATAAAAAAAAACAAGGATGGAAGCTCAAAGACTCAGGTTCAACCTTACTGCTTATTGAAATACAATATTGAAATACAGGGTAATTTATATGTATCCTCAGTACTTAGGACACACCAATTCATGCATTGTGTATCTGTGGTTGAGAGAACAGAAATTTTGTAGCTTAATTTAGCCAATCCTTACAGAAGCTATGCATACTTCTAGTGGTTAATTTATGTTCTGTGAAGTAGCTGTCATCTGTATACTGTAATCTGTATAATTGATTAATTATAAAGCAGTTTTTTCCATATACTATTCTGAACATTTGTATTCAGTTGGGTTCACATTTACCAAGTACCAACATGTGTTATGAAAATTTTTAATACCAGTTGCTAGAAGACAGGAATTTCTGTCCACCAGTGTGACTGGTGTTCCATAGAAGAGGATAGAACTGCAATAAGTGGCTTTGTGGTATTTTTCTTGTTAACACCATGGTTATGTCCTTTCCTTTAATGCCTAACGCCCTTCTCCTACTCCTAAAGGGCATATAAATTCACAAGAATCATAACCTAGACATTAGGTCATCATGTCATATTCCTAATCACTGTTTCAAAAGTGCTTTGCTGAGTTCAGTGCTTTGCTCTGATCTAATGCAGTTACAAATCTGTAATGATGTGACCTGCATGGTTAAGGAGGAGCGCTGAGCACATTAGCAGAGTAATATAAAAAACCATGGAGCCTTTGTAGTCTAATGATGCTCCCAGCACCTAAGTTCTTAAGAGGCGCTACGAACTTTAACTGGAGAAAATTAGCACCTTTACAAGTAGCAAAACTCGTGGCCACTGAGTTATCAGTCAGTAATGGAAAGGAATACCCAAAGCTGGTATCCCCTAATGACCAACAGGACACAAAGAGAAAGGCTGCTACAGGTGATAACAAAAATATTGCCTGTGTCAATAATGTTTCAAAACAGGATCTGTAAATGTCATAACCCACTCCATCTAAATCTTTCCCTTCTGCTCAGATTTTTCACTGATGCATCTTTTCGCTAAGGAAGAGGTGTTTTTTTGTTTTTTTTTTCCTTTTTTTTTTTCTTTTTTCCTCTTGGAAATATCAAAGAAAATACCTGTGTCAGATCGTCAGCAGGTTACAGAAAGGATCCCGCGGGAAGGGGAGGAGAAGCCAATACAAGGGAAACAAAGGTGTTATGCAACACAAGTTTTCACAGGAGCAGAGGCAGCGTGGGAACACGAAAGGATGGGATCTGTGCAGTAGCCAGTACCCCTGCAAAGCTACTACAGTCGGTTCTGGTCACAGAAGTGTGCATTCCGTATGGGAATCGGGAAAGGCCGCGCCGGGCCGTAGCTGTCGGACACGGGCGCCGCCGGGCGCTCCCGCTCAGCCCGCCTAGCCAGAGGCGTCTGCTCGCCGAGGAGCCGGGAGCCGCTAACGCGGGCTGCTCTGGCCTAGTTCCTCGTTGGCCGACTTGCCATATCGCCCTTCTCCTCCCGGCGGCTTCCTGCCGCCGCGGCCGCCTCCTCTCGCACGCACCGCTCCCTCGCAAAGCACTTCCCCTTTCCCGTGCCCGGGAGCCCCTCCACGATGGTGCGGGATGGGACGGAGCGCTACACCGACACCGGGCCATCTCACCTCGGAACCCGTCAGCCCCTCCGGATCACGCCGTGGCGACGCCTTCCCACCGCCCTTCGCGGGGTCGCCACAGTGGTTTCGGTTTCGGGGCAGCAGCGCGGCCCCCTCCAGCTGCCCCCGCTCCGGCGCGCCTGCCTTACCGCGCTCTGGCCTCTGAGGCCCCTACAGCTTCCCGGGGTGCCGCCGGCAATGGGGTTCGCCCCTAAGGCACTTAAGTAATGCCTTGGGCCGTCCCGGGTGACGCGAAGGGAAGGAGGCGGCTCGGAAGGCTGTGAGCGGCGCGGGTGCCGCCCCGTGACTGTGTCACTGCCTGAGCGCTGCGATCGGTGCCGGTAGTGAAACTGTCCCTGCCTAAGCTGTCTGCGAACTCCGATGAATGCCACACCGTGCCTTTGTCACTGCCTGAACTCGCTGGGAACTACGGTCGCAGCCACACGATGACTGGCACTGCTCGATGTCTCTATGCAATAGGAAGTTCGATGGTGACTCTGTCAGTGCCTGAGCTCTCTGAGCACCGCGATCTGCGATCGGTGCCCGTAGTGAGTGTCCCTGCCTGAGCTCTCTGAGCACTGCAATCGGCGCCACACGGTGGCCCTCTCGCTGCCTGAGATCTCTGTGGTGCCACACCTTGACTCTGCCGCTGCTCCATCACTTTGCGGGCTGCGATCGGTGCCACATTGTAACTCTGTCACCTGTCGAGCTGTCTGGGTAGTCCGATCAGTGCCGCACGGTGACCTTGTCACTGCCTGAGGTCTCTGAGCATTATAAGCCTTAAAAACCTGGTGATGCTATTGAGTCTGAGGCCAGGTTGCGAGTTCAAGGCATGCTGGAAATGCCTTTGTCTGTGGAAGATTTGGCGCTGGATTTGTTAGGATTTTTTTGTTCAGGAAGGCCCAAAGTAGGAGTTTGTTTGTTGACAGAGTTACTATCACACTTAACAGTCCTGGGGCAGTTGGAGTAATACATAACCAACAGAATCACCATAAACCACACAGTTCAGCCTCCTCTGGATGTCAGGTGTGTAGTTAATACAGGTTCTTTATATAAGAGCCATTCCTTTGCCATTCATCTGTGAAAAGGATGGTGATGATGAGTATCTAATGTCTTTACTGTGATCTTTCCCATTTGGGAGAACTGTTGCATTCCCTATGGTGCTTTCAAGTAGCAATGACAGAAGAGCAGCAGCCTATCAATGTGGTAGGGCAATAGCAGCCCACAATTATGTTTTTAATTTCTTCCTTTGATGGTCAGCAATACAGTATGGACACTCTCAAACCACCCACCTACCTTTATCTGCTCTTCCAGGGATGGCACTGTCTGCTTTGTGCCTTGTGCTGGCCCCACGTGCATCTGCTGGGAGCAGGGGCTTTTTCCTTCCAGCTTTCTTTTCTTTTTTTCTTTCTCACAGGAAAGACAGGTGGACACAGAAGGATGCAGGCAAAAAGAAAGAAATTGACAGTGGAACGAGTGGAACTGATGCAGGACCAGCACATTCCCGTTTTCCACCCATTCTGGATCAGCTGGTATTGAGACAAAACTGGAGTTTAATGCTCTGACAGCTCCTAGTGCAAGGGCTGATCACACTTACTGTAAAGAGGAGACTCGGGACCAAATGCTGAATTGTGACACTGAGCTCACTGTAGTTTGAATGCAGCAAATTTGTGTCCATCCACACTGTGAAATATCACAAGGAGAGCATTATTGAACTTGCAGTCCAGAGAGACTGGGACATTTGCCAGGTAAATAAAGCAAATGCAAATACAGTTGTGGTATCTCTGGTGGGCCAATTGTGCAGTTTCGATCTTCTCCTGCAACCCAAAACATTACAGAAATCTTTTGATAACATTTGACTTCTGAGGGTTTTTTTCTTTCTTTGATTGGTTGGTATTTCTGGTTTGGTTCTTCTGCTGTTTAGCTTTGCATTGTGTATGGGGCCAAAGGTGTGGTCTAAAGGCAGGAAGAGAGATGGCTGAATTTATAAGAATTGCTTGGTTAAAGATATGTCAGTCTCATTCTGTGGTGATTTGCCAATAAGCACTACACAAAGAAAGAAACTGTAATTTATTTGTATGTGCTTAGAGGCCAGTGCTGCCAGTTATGACATTCCTTCATTCAATGAATAGGGAAAATAAACCCATCCAGAAATGCAATCTGAATTTACAGAGAAATGTCTTAATTATGACTGAGGAGAAGGAAAGATTATATTGAAATGGACAAAAAGATTGGTACATTTTTAGTGCTTTTCTCAATAATGAATTTATTTGAGCAGAAATCTTCAATTTTAGCATTAATGAGAATAAGGCTATTCGTTTTAACTGTAACTGAACTTGCATTAATCTCAACCATTCACACACTTTGTACTAAAAGTCTCAGCCATCTTATTAAAACTTAGTGCTACCATATGTGTGGGAGCTGGCATGTGTCTGCCAGATAGTGGTAAGCACAGTATCCTCAACATACAGGTCAGTCTGGCATTCTTCATCTCATAGTTAACCCCACTAAGCTCTGCAGTTGTTCCAAAGCAGTAATGTTGGTTTGACAGTTGCAACTTCTGCTTTCACCTCAGTTTTCTTCTTTCCTGAATAGTCTGCTAATCGAACACAGTGAATAGATCTCTTCTATGCAATTTTGAAATTTACCTCCGATTTCTCTCGGTAACTTTTTCTCCTTAAGTCTTTAAGGCATGAATCTGCTTTCCCCACCTCTTAGATGTGTAACACTATCTTCCTTATTCCCTTTCACTTTCCTTTTCCTATAATAGAGCTGTTGAGCCAAAGCAAATTTCCTGCTTTTGCAGCCTAAAGACTTGGGCTCACATGACCCACAGCAGACATCTGCAACAGCTTGGGGCAGCTCTTCTTCCTGGGAAATGTCTCTGCTGGATGTGGCCCTTCACTTCATATGGGAGCAAACTGGAACACTGACCCTTCCCCTGTGGTGGCATTTCCCAGTCTGGCGTATCAGCTTACACTGAGCCTCCAGAGCCTGGGCTCAGCATGTTTATTATCCAATTAGTCCCCAAGGAACCGCAAGGCTGGGGTGTGACAAGACTGCCACAAAGCAGGTAGGCAGATGCACAGAGGCCTAGGTGTCATTTGATAGTGACTCAGGGGACAGGTTCTTATAGAGGCCACATTCTTTTAATGTCAAAGTGCAAAGGCAGCAGTTAGGTGAGCTGGTCAAAGCAAGAAATTCGGTATCTAAATGAGAAATCCACCCCTTGCCATATGCACAAACAGGGTTAACAACTCTAAAGCACAAAAATAATCCTGCTACAGTTCCAGGTAAAAATCCTGCCTATTAAGAGCCAGAAAATTCATTTGTCCCATAGACCCTGACTCATAGACAGACAGTGCCCCAGCAGGTTTTCAGGTTAGTGCTCTGCCTCACTAACTGCTGGTGCTAGACATCTCCAAGGATGCCCATCAATGCTGATGCTGGAGGGGAAGCAAACACCCTCTGACCCAAACACCAACACTGACTGGTGTGAGGGGGCAGGCAACAGACAGGATTACTTTTTCTCTCTACTTTAGGAAGATGCATACTTTACAAATGGGAGCTGTAGTCTACAAAGGAAGGCAATTCATGCACATATCACTACATTCACCTTTAATTTTTCCCTTTTCTGGTATTTGTCATAGCTTTAATATTGCTGTAGAGATAGGATCTGGAGAAGCCTAGATTGGATCTGGAGAAGCCTAGGGCTGCCCACAAGGCTTTCCAGCTGTTTAAGACACTTTGCAACGGTACATCCTTTTGCAACACTACTCATGATCTGGTTTTGTTGCTCCAAGGCACAAGTGTAGAGCTATCACAATCCATCTTGGGCTTTTAAAGGTTGAGTATGTGTCCATATTCCCCGGCAAAGGGAAAAAAAAGTGGCAACGGGTACAAAAAGGGTTCAAATAAACTTGGCCACATACTGTTTCACAAGCAGCAATGGTATAATCTGCCATGAAATATCACATGTGTTATCAAGCATAAGGAGGCAGGATGACACCGTTTCTGTGAGCAAGGAGAAGAACACAAAGAGTTTTGTGCCCATCCTTGAAGGGAATCCCTTGGGAATCACTAAAGATAAATGCCATGTTGTCAGTTAAACTGATAGATGTAGTATTCAAGATTCTTAAAATATATTTGAATCAGGAGATTAGTGTTCAGGTATTTAGATAGAGCATCAAAAAGAATGGAGAAAATCTTCACTCTGTCGTCTTGCACCTGAACACTACTTGAAATACCACTCAGGAGAGCAGTCTATGGGTTCTTCCTTCCAAAGAGACTTCAGACGCTGGGTCCAGGCAGCCAGCATCTCCTTCCTCTTCTCCTCAGAGACATTCTCTGGAGCATAACAGATGTGAGGTTCAAGGACTTTGACACCACAGAAGTGCATGATTCCATGCTGGATGCAAAACAAACAAACAAACAAAAAACCAAACCCAAACCAAAACAAAAAAAAACCAACAACAAAAAACAAACAAAAAACCAACAACAAAAAACAAAACAAAAAACCAAACAAACAAAACAACAAAAAAAAACCAAAAAAAAAAAAAAAGAAAAAAGAAATAAATGCCTCAGGAAATATAGGAAATATTTACTCTTACTTTCATTTGAAAAACATGGAAGATTCAAATCTCTTCTGTTTCTCTGATCCGATATCAGTCGGGTTTTCTAAACCTGTGCATTTATCCAGAGAAGGAAAATAAATTGCAGAAGTTCACTACCTATCCAGGCAGTCACTACTGAAGACATTCAGCAGAATGGCATATAAGATACTGAAAGATAATGGCAACTTCATTTATTCTGCTCTATGGAATTTACTTTTAACTGCTGTTAATCCCACAGAATTGTCCTCCTTGGCAGCTGTTCACTGTTCAGTTTGCAAGGATCACAGGAGGCCAAAAGTTCACTGTTCAATTTGCAACTCCTCAGATTGGTCTCTAACTGCAGTGTTCCACATCTACTTCTAAGATGGGTTTTTTTAGCCTTTTGCCTCTGGCTTAGCCAAAGGTTCCTGTAGGAAGGCTAGTGCCTGTGGAATCAACTCAACTTGCCATTTTCCCTTGATGTGTTTCTGAATTTAGAGTTGTCTTTCATGTTTCTGCCATGTTGACCTGTGAACTCTGCAGTTGAACAGCTCCACAGGAGCAGCCAGCTGGTAACTGCATGGGGAGGAGACCATGGAATTTTAGCTCATCTGTTGTATTGTATCAAGAAGAAGCTGGCTAAACTTGCCTTACCACCTGTATTTCCCAAACCATGCTGGGTACTTCTGAAAAAAGAGTAGCAATCAGAAGAATGCTAACTTTTGTGTGCTGACTGTTACTGCCAGGGTAATGTGAGGCTCCCCTCCTACCCTGCATCCTACAAGAATTGGGAAACCACAGGGAACAGAAATCCTGCATGGCTGAGCTAAAGAAAATCCTGTAACAGCAGGGAAACTGAAAAGGCTGACAGTGTTAAGCTTTCTCTACATTCTAATCTAATCTGGAGTAAGTGGGACAAAACAACTTTAAAAGTCAGTGGACTTTTAAAGTAGTCCCAGGATTTTAGGTAGGAGTTGACAACCTGCAGATCCTTAAAACTGACAAGTTGATTATTAATTATTATATTTAATTAAAAAAAACACAATAAAACAATTGTCTACATAAAAAATTATGTAGACAACAAACAAATGTTCATATATTATACCTGCATGGGCCACAGGACATAGCGAATATCACCACCGACACCTTCTTTTGAAAACATCTCTTGGCTTCCTCCCGTGGTGAAAGAAAAGAGGGACAATTTGTCCTAGAATTAGGAAAGCCGTAGTTAATTAAGACATATTTAAAGAAGAGTGCCTGAACAGTTCAAGAGATATTCATATAAACCTGGCAGCATGGATTTTTAAGGGAGAGGGTGACTTCTTTCCAGACCTTACATGAAGCGGCAGTTCTGAGGCAAAGACTGATGTCACAATTAGACAGTGGACTGTGTGTCTTTGGGAAGAGATAGGTTAAAGAAAAGGAATTATGTGTCTGACACCCTTGTGTGAAGCAGGGCTGATACATTACTTCAACATAATGTAAAGTGAGAGCTCTACACAACTACAATGGAAAGGAATCAACAAGGCCCCATAGAACATTGTGCAAGCCTTGATGTTAATAAAACTATTCCAAAAACATACCTGGAGCAAACCACCATCATAAACCTTTGACAAATCGTAAGCAAAGCCTTGGACCAAGACTCTGTCCATCCAGCCCTTCAGGATTGCAGGCATGTTGAACCAAAACAAGGGAAACTAGGCAAAGAGAAAATTACCTGGTTAGCACAGAGAGTCTGGGCCACCCTTAGGCCACACAATTACTGGATTTTCTGTAACAATGATCCAGGTAATTGTACTACTGATCTGTAGTGTTTACTGCACAATTACCTCAAGTCAACATCACAACTGAATTCTGTTTAAGATAATGACCTGAAAAATCAGCAGGTCTGCTTCCTGCACTTTCTTCTGCTCTTCAACCAGGTCTTTGGACAAACTTCCTCTCTTGTAAGCTTCCCAGGTTTCCACCCCATAATTGAACGCTTCTGAGTTGTGCAGGTGACCTGTGGGTAGAAATGAACAGTCATTCCTTGCCCCCTGTGCAGTATCAGTACCAGATAAGAGCTGAGTGTAGGCTGCCATTCACAGTTCTAAACTGAGTTACTGCTTTTGGTTTTGCTACGTTCTTGTCCTTGTGGAATATTCAGCATCATCCCAGCTGATGGTCACTTGATTTTAAAAAAGAGAGGAATGTAGGATCTCAGAGTTCTGAAGCCTCAACTTCCTGTAGCAACACAGGAAGTGCACTATGAGGACCTGAGCTTGCCTCAGGACTCTGGGGATACAGGTGGAAAATTTAAGAGAACGTTGTTGATTGTTCTGCCTCTGCCTTAGGGCTTACTGAGGCCATCCTGCACTTGTAAGCACTATGGAGCTGCTTTCCAGCCTTCGTAACTGGGAAATTCACCAGGGGATGGGCAACCAGTATTGGCCAGCTCTACTGATTCCATGAGCAGCTCATCAGTCTCTAGCAGAAGAGAGGGGCAGTTGTAGCCTCGTGAACTCAACTCTAGCAAGTCCCAGAGTGGTATCTGAAGGCAATTCCTCTCCATGAGAAATGGACTTTAGAGGCTGATTATGGACACGTGTTAATGTGTTTCTTCCTGTCAGTAATCTCACTGTGATACAAAGTTCATGTTCAGGAGTGGACTTTTAGAAATGCAGATGTCTGGTCATGAATAAGTTTATTATTAATGAAATGAGTTTCTCATTAATCTCTTGATGATCTGAAGGGCTGGAGCACCTTTCCAATCAAGACAGACTGAGAGCTGGGCTTGTTCAGCATGGGGAAGATTTCAGGGAGACTTTTTTCAGCCTTCTGATTCCTGACAGGGGGCTTACAAGTCACTGGTTTTTGGGAGGGGCGTATTTTGGCTGGGCTCACCAACAATGTCATTCCTTGTTGCTCTGGGCTCAAACTGCATGGCGTATAAATCCGACACGGTGACGCTGCAGCCCTGCTTGGTCAGCTCTTCCACAGCAATCTTCAGCAAAGATCCATTGAAGGACTTGGGCTCTTGATGTGCATAGACTATCAGGACTTTTTTCCCTGGAGGCAGAGAGAAAACGAGGAGACCATTTGGAATCTAGCAGGCAGGTGCAGAACAGTTTGTAGAGTTGGGGCTTGTTCCTCGCTCCTCCTCTAGTGTCTTTTCCCAAGGACACAGAAGCAGTGAAAGCAGGGTGACAGTGGCAGCATTTGACTCCTGCTCAGCAGCACTGAGTGACTGCTGAGGCCCTGAGTGCTGCATATGCCCAGCCCAGCAGTTCTGTGCTACACTGGACTTTTCTAGGTGGAACTCACTGGACAGATGGGCTGTTCCATAGCAGGTCACACTGCCCTATATTAGGAAAAACCAGCCCCTTCTCTTGAGACAACATTTCTCTTGGTCTGATTCCACTACCACCCAAAAAGCACTGCCAGAGAGATTGCTCGAAAGTGTCAATGAAACAACCTCTCAGAGGTGAGAACACCTTCCCACCGCAGTGGTCGATACCTCCAGATCTTTCATTTCAGTGCTGTGCAAGTTACAACAGTGGGGGAGACATTAAATATGGTCCTGTCCACTTCAGCACAACCACAGTAACTTCTGTAGAGTTAAACAAGGTGTTTTTCTCAGAGATTAGATTGTCATGTGTATCTCAAACTGTTGTCAAAGTGGATTCCAGGTAAGCTGAGTGGCCAAGTAGGTGTGTAGGGATGGAATATCTTAGAGGCATTGTCACAAGGCTCTGCTCAAAGAGCTCTCTGGTGTGCTCAAAGTTTTATTGAGCATAGGCCCTACAATATTAATAATTCTCTTGAAAATCAGTCATCAACAAAGACAAAATATGGTGTTGTTGTTGTTTATAGATAACCGGAGAGGGAAATTTACAGGGACTATTGAGAATGACTGAGTCTGCAAAACATGCAGCTCCCATTTCCTGACTGCCAACACAAAAACTCAGGCATCTCCTGAACTCAGTTTCTCTGCAGTACAGCTTCTGAATGTAGGTACATAGTGTCCATGAAACAAGAGCTATGCAAAAAATACTATTAAAACTTGCACGTCAAATGCTAGCATAAATTCAATGTGTCTATAAACTCTTTAAATCCCTGCTCCATACTATCCTCTGGAATTTCAGGAGCAGTTACAACTTTGCTGTTCCTGCCAGATCTCAACTGAGGTAATTTCGGTCGTTTGGAAAAGTAAGACCTCAGTGTCCCAAAGGCCCAGAGGCCCCATCCCTGAGGTGCCCAGCGGCCACCCTGGAGCGAGCAGCATTTTCACCCAGATTTGCTCTTACCTGCCATTGCTGGGGAGCGCTGGGGAGCTTCACTCCTGATAATCTGGTACTGCCTGAGAACTCAAGTGAGAGATTTGCTGGTGAGAAACATCAGGACCAGGTGCGAGGAGAATCGCTGTTTCAGGGGCAGAGGTGCCGTGGTGTGACTACGGGCACTCAGCACAGCCGGGCACTGGCCAAGCGCGGCCCGCCGCAGCGGGAGGGAAGCCCCCGGCTCTCGGCCCGGGCCCTGGAGCAGGAATTCTCCTCCGGCCGCCGGACCGGCGCATGGCGCCGCTCCCGGTGCCGTGCCGCCCTCTGGAAAGCGGCTCCGGAGCAGCGCCCGGCCCCAGCGCCAGCCGGGCTGCCCTTACCTGCTCCTTGGGGCCCGGACACATCTACGGCGGGGCTGGGACCGGCCCTTCCCAGCGGCCCCGCGGCCCCCCCTTCCCGGGCGCAGGGGCAGCGCCAGCGCGGGGCGGGATCGGGATCGGGGCCGCCCGCCGTTCCGGCTCCGGCTCCGCTCGAGGCCGCGCGCGGCCGGGAGCGCGCCCCCGCCGCTGTGGCAGCGTGCGACACCTACATTATCTCTGGATATTTTTTTTCCCCTGGACTTCTGCTCTTCTCCGAGTACACATCTCGTCCTTCATTTCTCCCAGCAATGCAGTATGGGCGCTCCTAAACCATCCACCTACCCTTATCTGCTCTTCCAGGGATGGCACTGTCTGCTTTGTGCCTTGTGCTGGCCCCACGTGCATCTGCTGGGACCAGGGGCTCTCCCTTCCAGCTTTCTGGGAAAGACAGGTGGACACAGAAGGATGCAGGCAGCTGTGGGTTTGCAGAGATAGGACAGCCTTGGTGATCACTTTCAAGATGAAGTTTTCTCTCTGAGTATCAAAACTGCTCTATGATGGGCAAACTGAATAAACAGCTCCTTTCTAAGATTTTGAAAAAAAAAGAAAAAAAAAAAGAAGAAAAATAGAAATTGACAGTGGAACGAGTGGAGCTGGTGCAGGACCAGCACATTCCTGTTTTCCACCCATTCTGGATCAGCTGGTATTGAGACAAAACTGGAGTTTAATGCTCTGACAGCTCCTAGTGCAAGGGCTGATCACACTTACTGTAAAGAGGAGACTCGGGACCAAATGCTGAATTGTGACACTGAGCTCACTGTAGTTTGAATGCAGCAAATTTGTGTCCATCCACACTGTGAAATATCACAAGGAGAGCATTATTGAACTTGCAGTCCAGAGAGACTGGGACATTTGCCAGGTAAATAAAGCAAATGCAAAATACAGTTGTGGTATCTCTGGTGGGCCAATTGTGCAGTTTCGATCTTCTCCTGCAACACAAAACATTACAGGAACCTTTTGATAGCATTTGACTGCTTTCTTTTGGTTTGGTTTTTTTAATTTTGAGCTTTGCATTATTTATGGGGCTGAAGGCTCCATAAGCCTCCATAAGGAAGAGCGATGGCTGAATTTATAAAAAATGCTTGGTTCGAAAGGTATATGTCTCATTCAGTGTTGTTTTGCCAGCATGTGCTGGGCAAAGACAGGGAGATATTGGCATCTATTTGCATGTGCTTAGAGGTCACACCCTTGATATATAGCTGGCTATTTTGCCAACAGAATGAAAACTGCTGTGTGTGAAATTTGCAGGTTTCATCGCAACATTGGAAAATTTGTAGGGACTGATGAGTAAAAAACATCAAATCTCCACAGTGCTAGACCAAGGCTACCTGGAATGCTTACCTCATTCCTTAATCTTAACTAAAAATCAATCACAGTAAACTTGTGCCATAATGGGAAGGTGACTTTGTATCTGTTTTCCTGGTATTAACTTTAAGGGCTGTACAGTAGCAGTAAACTTTGCCAACAAATGTTTAATTATTACATCTCCTTCTTCTCCTCCTGTAGTCTGCTGCGAGCTATCTCTTTAGAGACTTTTTCCTCTCAATTTCTCTGACAAATTTCAAGTTCTGTAGGGACCTAAGCATAATCATTCTCTGGTTGTCTCTGTCTTAACCCTCTGCCTGGCTTAGCAAGGATGAGCATTCTCTCACACAGGAGTCTTCCAGCTCTGTAGATGACTCAATGCTGGAATATTAATTCTGGGCTCTATACCCTGTCCAGAACTCTGAGGAGGGGAATGATTGGTGGGCAAAACTCCAAGGAAATACTTGTCTATAATCTTTCTTTAATGTAGCTTTTAATCTAAAAGTAAAGCATTATCTGGTGTGATTGATCCCCCTGCTGTCCAACAGCCATGAATATTATGCTGTAGAGCTGAAAGAAGCTGTGATCTTAGCTAATTTGCATTATCTGTGCACCAAAACTCATACTGTATTTCTCTAAACCCTCAGAGGGCTGAGGTGGGAAAAGCTGCAGCACCTAACAGAGCTGATGCTTGTGGAGAAGGGTTGCATCCCCCTGGGGAGTATGAATGCAGAATGGGAGGCTCCAAGGGCCTTTGGAACCACTGTGGTTGGTGACTGACTGCAGCCACTCTTCTCTGCAGTTAAGTTCAAAAGAGCACTACCTGATATTTCCCATAGATGCTGAACTGTGGCCTAGCAAAGATGGCAGGAATACAAGGGTGTCTGTGTAGAGTACATGGAGAGGATTTAATTTTGTCTTGGATTCTTATTGAATTCCAGTGAAGAACCACCTTTGCTCTGTATGTCACACTGGAGTGCAACTGTATTTGCACTTTTGGCAATCTGTTATATGGATAAGATGGTTAGGTCTTGGTTTATTCTCTCTGTTGGAGGTCAACAAAATGCTTTCTCATTTCATCAAGGGCAACACAGAGAAGGCTATTGAGTATTTTGGCTCCACAGTCCTAGGGAAGAAGCTGGTCTTTTGTCTCCTTCCTGAGTTTTTCAAACATATCAGAATTCCTGTGTATTCAAGCTGCATGAAACTGAGCATTTTAATACTCTTAGAATGATGAGACAATTATCCAGCACTGACCTGAGTGTAGCATCAGCTTAAATTCTTTGCATCACTTCTGTAGAATATAGCCTCTTTAGGCTTTAAGATATCCAATAACACAGTAGGATTTTTCTTAAAAAAAAAAAAAAAAAAAAAAAAAAAGAAAAAAAAGAAGAAGAAAAGAAAAGAAATAATACTTGCATTGTGCATGGTATCAGTTATTGGCTGTTTCTCTCTTCAGAACAAACTTTTGATGAATAGTTTATTACAAAGTATATTCCTCTGCAAGCAGGCAGTTCACCTCAGTGATATTGCTTCAGGAACCAAATTTTAAACCATAGATTGAACTACACCTGGCTTTAAATGTCAGGTTTTTTGAAACCTGGATTGAAGTCACCTTACAGCAAGACATCAGTCTTGGTTTCTCTAGGCTATGAGGATTCTTGGTAACATAGTTCCTATGCATATCTGTTTGTTTTCCTCTATTGTTCTGCAGTTGCAAGCATGTTGGACCTGCCATTTCAGAACACCAAATGAAAGAAATACAGTCATGATTTCTGGAAAACATTGTCAAAGAAAAAAGATCAGACCACTGCCTAGACATCTGTGAGAGAGCAGGACCATCAGCAACAAAAAACAAATCCCGAGACTAAATGTGGAAAAGCATGTTCCTTTACACCCTTTTCCCCAGCCTGAAGTGCAGCTACAAGTTCCTCAGCTAAATCTAGTTTCATTCTCATGAAATCAATGCTGGTTTGGCAGGGTGACATTTGACTTTTAGCATAATGTGATTTAGAAGGACAATTATTCTTTAGTCCAAAATGGCTGTAACATTTCCAGTGCTGCTAAGACAGCAATACAGCCACTTCTTTTCTCTCTCCTTACTAACCACAGACAAGTCACTGTTGGTGTTCAGTGTGGTAAAATTCTTCCGAGTTTTGGAAAGGCATGTGTCCGAACACACGTGCAGCCCAGCACAATGCCCTGCAGAGCATGCACTGCAGGAACATCAGGACAAGGACAATAACCCTTGGCTCACCACTCACTTCACTGCACAGCTGATGGCTTCCAAAGCATTGCAACAGCAGCACTCTTGTGGAACCTGAAACTTCGGCTTACATGCCCCACGGCAGACATCTGCAACAGCTTGGGGCAGCTCTTCTTCCTGGGAAATGTCTCTGCTGGATGTGGCCCTTCACTTCATACGAGAGCAAACTGGAACACGTGACTAGTGTGAGAGGGCAGGAAAAAACCAGGATTCCATTTTATCTCTACAAAGGGTAAGCAAAATAGAGAAGTCCCTTTTGATTTTAGGAAGCTGAATACTTTACAAATGGAAGTTGTAGTAGACAAAGGAAGGCAATTCATGCACATACCAATATACAAAATCTGCTTAGTTTTTTCCCCTTTTCTGGTATCTGTTATGGCTTTAACATTGCTTTGTAAATATGTCTAAAAGCCTAGGCCTGCCCACAAGGCTTTCCAGCTGTTTAAGACACTTTGCAACGGTACATCCTTTTGCAACACTACTCATGATCTGGTTTTGTTGCTCCAAGGCACAAGTGTGGAGCTCTCACAACCAGTGACAAGTGGCTTTTAAATGACAAGTTGGGTATGGGCAAGATATTCTCTGGTAAAGGAGAAAAAAGTGTTAAAAGAAACTTGGCCATGTACATTATTGTTTCACAAGTAGCAATGGTATAATCTGCTATTAAATATCACGTGTTATCAAGCAGAAGGAGGCAGGATGACACCATTTATGTGAGCAAGGAGAAGAACACAAAGAGTTTTGTGCCCATCGTTCTATTTCTTTCCCCAATATCACTCAGGTTCTCTAACTCTAAACCTGTGCATTTGTCAGGAGAAGGGAAGTAAATTGGTGTTAAACACATAGGACTGTCCTCTTTGGATGCTGTACGCTGTTCAATTTGCAAGGATAAGGGACAGGCTAAAGTTCATTGTCCAGTTTGAACTTCCTCAGATTGCTCCTGAACTTCAGTGTGTTTCACATCTACTTCCATGTTGGTTTCTTGGATTTTTTTTTTTGTTTGTTTTTTTTTTTTTTTTTTTTTTTTTTTGTTTTTGTTTTTGTTTTTTTTTAAAACACAGAGATTGGGATTGAGATAGCCATATGATCCTGCATGAAGGCTAGTGCCTGTGGAAGTTCAGCTTGCCATTTTCTCTCTGTGTGTTTCTAAGTTCAGAGTTGTGTTTCATGTTTTTGTCACATTTTCTTGTAAGCTGTGGAGCTGGACAGCACCTCAGGGGTGAGGAGCTGGTAACTGCACTGGGGAGGAGATCATGGCATCCTTCATGAATTGGGTAACCATGGGGAACAACTAGAGCTAAAGAAAATCCTGTAACACCAGAGACTGGAAAAGCTGACAGCAGAAGCTTTCCCCAGCTGGTGAAGAGGGACAAAACAACTTTAAAACTCTATGGACTTTTGAAGTAATCTCAGGATTTTTGAGCCCAGTTTATAACCTGCAGATGCTTGGTACAGGCAACTTAATTATTTCTTATTATGCTTTGTATAAAATAATCAATAAAACAATTGTCTATAAACAGCTGGAATAGTAAAAACTAAAGCAAACAGTAACCAAATATTCTTATATTATACCTGCATGGGCCATAGGAGATAGCGAATATCACCTCGGATTGCATACTTCTCTTTGCTTCCTCCCGTAGTGAAAGAAAACAAGGATAATTTGTCCTAGAATTAGGAGAGTGGTGCTTGAGTTAGATGTGTTTAAAGAAGAGCGTCTGTATAGTTACAAAGATATTTGGGGGAACTGGACAGCATGCATTTCTAGAGGAAGGGGTGTCCACTTCCTTTCCAGATATTCCAAGGACTGGCAATTCTGAGGCAAAGATTGATGTCGTACAATTACATCAATGGACTGAGTGTCTGGGCTTTGGGCAGAGCTAGGTTAAAAAGAAACTTGTGTGAAGGAGGGCTGATCCTTTTTCTTCCATATGCAACCTTTGGAAAACCGTAGCTGGAAAGCCCTCTGTTACTGTGAAAATCTCTCTTCCTGCCCTCTCTGACTGCAGAAATTTTTTGCTAAACTCCCCCTTCAAACTTGGGCTTGCTTAACCACCATGTTTCTTCTGCTCCTGTGATTATGGTATTAGCCATGTGCTCAGCTACTCTCATTTCAGTTTTAGCTTCTGTAATCGAACTAACATTTTTCCAGTGCAGTATCCCAAATGTCCTGAGCCTATACTCCATGTGAAGCTGTGATCACTGGGGATTACGCTTACTTATGTCAATGAGGCAGCCATTTCTGAAATTTAAAGAAACTGAAATGTTTGGAATTGTTAAGAACATCAGAACTAACAGAGATTAACATGCAGTGAATTAAAGGTGAAAATAATATTGATTGCTTTTTGATGCTGCATTTGTTACCAAATAAGATCTATCAGAGATAGTGGGCCAGAATTTTCCAGGGATATTCCCAGTGCTGTGGAGAATCAAAAATGTATGATTTTGACATCTAGACATACTGGGCTTGCCAAATTGAAAGCTACAGAGAGGAAAAGGTTCAAAGTAGATAGTTGTGACTGAGGCTCATACTCCAAGTGTTTCAGATCTCTGATTAAGTTTTATAGTTCAACTCCAACCTTTGACATCTAATCCCAGAAGAGGACTATGACACCTAGTGTGTCAGTCATTACAGATAAGAGGAGTCCTATAGTGGTGGGAAGACTATAATTATAGGAAATTAATTGATTTAAACTGTTTGCAAGCTGTATGGTACCCCAGCACACTCTGATACTCCTAATAAATGATAAACCCCACACAGCAGGCCAATAAAGATCTCTAGGAGATCGCTTAAATCTTTGGGAAATGCTGCAGTCCCATTATTTTCTTACCCTCCAGACAGGGTGAACAACCCAGAAAATCTCTAAACATGTTACCAAAGCATTATTTCAGAGCAGTGAAAAGTGAGAACTCTAAGAAACTACAATGGAAAAGAATGAACAAGGCCCCATAGAACATGGTGCAAGCCTTGATCTAAAAACAATTCCAGAAACATACCTGGAGCAAACCACCATCATAAACCTTTGACAAATCGTAAGCAAAGCCTTGGACCAAGACTCTGTCCATCCAGCCCTTCAGGATTGCAGGCATGCTGAACCAAAACAAGGGAAACTAGGCAAAGAGAAAATTACCTGGTTAGCACAGAGAGTCTGGGCCACCCTTAGGCCTGGTTGACAGGACAAATCCTGTCCTCTGAACCTGCTCAGATCCTGTATGTACCTTCTCCAGCTCTCTGCCAGTAGAGGTAGTACCTGTGCCTGGCAAAAGAAGCTGAAGTGCTTTCTGTTTGTGGTAACCTCAGGGCCAGACCTGAGCACCTACAGCACACCAGCACTGTGGTGCATGTGAGGGTTTCCTTCCAGATTAAAGGTGGAATAGGATGAAGGAGAAGGGTGCCATTTAATTAAGACTTAGGATTGTACAGAATCATGCCTCATATGGCTGAAATGCAAAAGAATTGAAAATACTATTAGTAGGATTGACATGTGGTGATCAGTTCTGATCTGCCAGTCTGGTGACAAATGCCAGGGGATCATAGGAAAGACTTATTTTCAAACCCTGCCGACATTAAGCCACCAAGCTATGTCTAACGCCAACAGGGGTAAAAGGAAATATAAGACTACTATTTCCTTTCACAGTACTTTAGGATCTGTTCACACTGGGGACAGAGCTGGCATAATGGAGAGTGGACATGGGCTGTAAAGCTCCATTATCAATTCCCAGTAGTATTTCTACATCTCACCACCAAATGAGAACAGTCTACTTGGGAAAGCCCAATTCCCTGACTACACTGTCTACCCCCATCTCCTTGACCAGGAAATAATGCTTCCTCTGCCTTCTGCCAGCCTGCCTGATATCCATGGTCATGTAGGTCTGTGCATCCATCAGGAAATTTGCCCCATTGTTGAGGAGTTCCTGGGGTTGCTGTTGTTTCAACCTGCATCATGGTGCTACACAATTACTGGATTTTCTGTAACAATGATCCAGGTAATTGTACTACTGATCTGTAGTGTTTACTGCACAATTACCTCAAGTCAACATCACAACTGAATTCTGTTTAAGATAATGACCTGAAAAATCAGCAGGTCTGCTTCCTGCACTTTCTTCTGCTCTTCAACCAGGTCTTTGGACAAACTTCCTCTCTTGTAAGCTTCCCAGGTTTCCACCCCATAATTGAAGGCTTCTGAGTTGTGCAGGTGACCTGTGGGTAGAAATGAACAGTCATTCCTTGCCCCCTGTGCAGTATCAGTACCAGATAAGAGCTGAGTGTAGGCTGCCATTCACAGTTCTAAACTGAGTTACTGCTTTTGGTTTTTGCTACGTTCTTGTCCTTGTGGAATATTCAGCATCATCCCAGCTGATGGTCACTTGATTTTAAAAAAGAGAGGAATGTAGGATCTCAGAGTTCTGAAGCCTCAACTTCCTGTAGCAACACAGGAAGTGCACTATGAGGACCTGAGCTTGCCTCAGGACTCTGGGGATACAGGTGGAAAATTTAAGAGAACGTTGTTGATTGTTCTGCCTCTGCCTTAGGGCTTACTGAGGCCATCCTGCACTTGTAAGCACTATGGAGCTGCTTTCCAGCCTTCGTAACTGGGAAATTCACCAGGGGATGGGCAACCAGTATTGGCCAGCTCTACTGATTCCATGAGCAGCTCATCAGTCTCTAGCAGAAGAGAGGGGCAGTTGTAGCCTCGTGAACTCAACTCTAGCAAGTCCCAGAGTGGTATCTGAAGGCAATTCCTCTCCATGAGAAATGGACTTTAGAGGCTGATTATGGACACGTGTTAATGTGTTTCTTCCTGTCAGTAATCTCACTGTGATACAAAGTTCATGTTCAGGAGTGGACTTTTAGAAATGCAGATGTCTGGTCATGAATAAGTTTATTATTAATGAAATGAGTTTCTCATTAATCTCTTGATGATCTGAAGGGCTGGAGCACCTTTCCAATCAAGACAGACTGAGAGCTGGGCTTGTTCAGCATGGGGAAGATTTCAGGGAGACTTTTTTCAGCCTTCTGATTCCTGACAGGGGGCTTACAAGTCACTGGTTTTTGGGAGGGGCGTATTTTGGCTGGGCTCACCAACAATGTCATTCCTTGTTGCTCTGGGCTCAAATTGCATGGCGTATAAATCCGACACGGTGACGCTGCAGCCCTGCTTGGTCAGCTCTTCCACAGCAATCTTCAGCAAAGATCCATTGAAGGACTTGGGCTCTTGATGTGCATAGACTATCAGGACTTTTTTCCCTGGAGGCAGAAAGAAAACGAGGAGACCGTTTGGAATCTAGGAGGCAGGTGCAGAACAGTTTGTAGAGTTGGGGCTTGCTCCTCGCTCCTCCTCTAGTGTCTTTTCCCAAGGACACAGAAGCAGTGAAAGCAGGGTGACAGTGGCAGCATTTGACTCCTGCTCAGTAGCACTGAATGACTGCTGAGGCCCTGACTGCTGCAAGTGCCCAGCCCAGCAGTTCTGTGCTACACTGGACTTTTCTAGGTGGAACTCACTGGACAGATGGGCTGTTCCATAGCAGGTCACACTGCCCTACATTAGCACAACACTGTCCCTCCTATTGAGTCAATAAGGAAAGAGGAAATATTTTCTATGACATAGCAGTTGTTTATAGATAACCAGACAGCAAAATTTATAGTGATTTTTGAAAATGACTGGGTCTGCAAAACATGCAGCTCCTGTTTCCTGATTTCCAAGGCAAAAATCCAGGCATCTTCGAGGTCAGTTTCACTGGTGCACAGCTTCATCCCAGAGCAACACCTGCCAAGTGACAGGCAAGTTTACAGTGTCTTGGAAAACTTGTAGAAACTAAACTGAATATTTGATGAAACAACAGCTCATTTTTAAAGTAAATTTTAAGGGGTAATTATTTCATCAGGGTGCACAGTGTCCATGAAAGAAGAGCTATGCAAAAAGGACAATTAAAACTTGCGGGTCAAATGCTATCATAAATTCAATGTGTGTACAAGCTTTTAAAACCCTTCTCTACATGTTATTGTGGAATATAAGGAGCAGTTGCCTCTTCACTCTTCCTGGCAGCTCCCAGCAAACAGGGAGCTCTAGGGAGTGCCTGGAGATGGACAAGCTCCCCAAAGTGCTCAGTTTCATTCTGCAAGGCTGCCAGATTTTTTTCCCTTTTGAGAGAGCTGAGGGCGCTTGGGCAGAGTGTTTAGAGAGACTTGAGTTTTCCAAGGCATCACTTACTGAGATAATTTCAGTCGTTTGGAAAGTAAGTCCTCAGTGTGCCAGCTAAACACGGCAGAGAGCCCCCATCCCTGAGGTGCCCACGGCCCCCTGGAGCGAGCAGCGTTTACCCGGATTTGTTCTTACCTGCCATCGCTGGGGAGCTTCACTCCTGATAATCTGACAGTGCCTGAGAACTCAAGTGAGAGATTTGCTGGTGAGAAACATCAGCACCAGGTGCGAGGGGAATCGCCGGGTGTGTGGCGCCGCTCCCGGTGCCGTGCCGCCCTCTGGAAAGTGGCTCCAGATCAGCCCCGGCCCCAGCCGAGCTGCCCTTTCCTGCTCCTCGGGCCCCGGACACACCTGCGGCGGGGCTGGGAGCGGCCCTTCATAAAATCACTGCATATCCTGAGCTGGAAGGGACCCACAAGGATCACCAGTCCAACTCTTCCCGGCGGCCGGGCCGGCCCTCGGGCAGCGCCAGCGCGGGGCGGGATCAGGATCGGCACCGCCCGCAGCCACGGCTCCGGCTTTTTTCCCCTCTGCATCTGGCTTCGTTTGACACCCCACAGCTGCAGTTCTTGTACTGTGAGTGGCAGTGAAGGGTCAGTCCGTGCTCTTCTCCCCTGTCCGCTGGTGATTTTGTGGACTTGCAGCGTGTGCCGGCTGAACCGCCTCTTTCCTGGACTGTTCTTTGAGGGCGATCTGTTTTCTGAAACTGCTCTGTACTTTCACTCCTTCCCAGTGCCCTTCTCTGCCCCTTTCCAGTTTTGCTCTATCATTTCTTGAAGCGAGGGAACCAGCTCTACGCATAGTTTTTACACTGTGGACATGCCTTGTATATACCCTGATGATTTTCTGCTCTGTGGTCCCTGTAATTCCTGATGTAAAAAATTTGTACTTTTTTGACTGCTATGGACTGTTGAGCTGATGAGTGTGTGGAATTATCTGTCATAATTAGAAGATTTTACTCCTGTGTGGCGACAGTCAGCTCAAAGCTCTTTATTTTAAAAGTGAGGCCAATCTGGTTGTTTTTCTCCTGTAATCATCTCTTAAGGTTCACAGAGACTGAAAATAACTTTGACTTGTCTAACCTCCTGAGCATCATTCAGAACATTGTGCTGGCCTTAGTTCTCACAGAAGTTAGAGACATCCCTTTTGCTCTATGAATGATTTACCTATTGGAAGAATTTGGCACAGCTTTGTAGCTTAAATACTATTCTTCAGATGTATTATGGGTACACTTTCCTACTGGTATCTAAAATACTTTTATTCATTATTTGTAGCCCCAAACCCTCCAAAGAAGATGAATAACTTTTATTCTCTGAAAATCTAATAATGAAACTTGATAAAAATTGATTTTCTATGGATTCTCTTTGAAGCTGTTTCATTGCAGAAAAGTACTTTATGTTTTGGTGAAGGAAAAGAGAGAAAGTGGTCATCATTTTATTACTTAGGCACTGTGATGACCTTAGAACAGGAAAACTCCAGTCTTTATGTCAAGAATTGCTGAAACTTTTAACATGCAACAGCAGATGAGTGCTGTAGTGATGCACTGCAGAAGGTGAGGGTAACCCAGGTTCTAGTTCATAAATCCCTTGGGGAGGATTAGAGGGAAACAACACTGAATGATGGGTAAAGAAATGCTTCCTGATGTCCAGTCTGAACCTGCCCTGGTGCAGCTTTGAACCATTCCCACTGTCATTGGATCCAGGAGAGGGGAGTTCAGCACTTCCATCTAAACCACTCTGAAACAGCCAGGTTTGTTGCTTCAAGGCAACAAAGAGTTGAGTCATAAATACAAATTTCTTCAGCAACTGAACTAGATGAAAGTTTTCCCCTCCCACTTTATCAGAAGACACAGCACACAATGTTCTGATGCACAATAGCTGTTGTATAAATTCATGTGGAAACTGTATTTGTGTGTTTATACATATATTCTTCTATACAAATTGTGTACTGTGGATTAGAGTGCAAGGGATGGTCATCTTAGAAAATAAATTAATTAGGATAAATGAAACATATTAGGATATAACCGCGGAGGAACTATTGTTACGCCTTTTCCTAGGTTTGATACGAAGTTTACAGTACATCAATGTTTTAAGATACTGTGTATCTAAAGGATGTTTGTTGTGCCCTCTAGCACCCAGTGCGAGGGTTTATCCTTACAGCAGAAGAGAAGCCTCCGCCAAGGAGGAGCATTTAATCCCTAATGCAAATTCCACCACAGACAAAATGTTTTAAGAATCTTTGCTGCCAGTGATAATACACAGCAATGAAACACGATGCTAACAAATCATTGGTGTGGGAGAAATCCTCTTTAAGATTAGTCTTCCGTGACTTTTGCAGAGAACACAGCTACTGGGGGAACAGTTCTAGGCAGTGAGTACTGTGGTCCTGCACTGAAAAGGAAGAAAAAAGGAGAAACTGAGAAATAATATCCAACAGAAGATAGGTCTTTCCCCCCATACACATCACAATAACACCGTAGCTATTCCTAGGCTTGTTTTGTCATGTCATAAAGATGACAGTCACTCTTGCATTGATCTTTCTCCTTAGAGCAGAAAGGTTGATGGGCTTGTGCAACATGAAGGAAGGAAGCAGGAGGACTGTGGGACTAACAGCCTCTCACTGTGACCTGTTTTCTTCTCAGCCTGTCTGTATGGTGATGAGTAACAGAAATTGCAAATGGAAACCTCTGGGGTTAAGTCTGTAATACAGTCTCTAAATCAAAAGCAAACCAGGAACAGGGATAGTGTCCCAGAAAACATCTCTTATCAGATGTTTATCTTATTTTTAAACTTTGTGATGTTAAATATTTACTGTTATGAAATTATATAAATTAAATATATATCTAAGCCTTTTATCTGTTTGAAACTGAATTGCAGCTTTTGCTAGCAGATCTTTGCCAGGGTGTAAGAGGACTAGTTCAGTCCTGCTAGTCCTACTAGTTCAGTAACAAATTTGTTACTTTCAAATTTTTAATCCCTTCTGTAATTTTTGATTGAGGAGTCTGGCCTGAGGTGCTCTTTTGAAGAGAGGCTGAAGTTTCAAATCTGGCTATGAATTCAGTCTTTGTCTGTAAAGCATAGTATATCTAGGATTTGTCTTTGCATCTGAATAATGAGAATCTCTGCATAATGTGACTGTCTTTCTTTGCCCGATTTGTGATAACAAAAGGCAATAAGTAGTGTCTGCACTCTCACTCAATTTCTCATGGAATATTTAATGTAAATATGGAGTGACATTAACTGGTACTTGAAGAGGCAATAAATAAGCAGTTTAATTTCAGGGCAAGGTACTTTATGAAGTATTTGAACTGAGAATGACAATGCATTAGCTATGATATTAAAGAACTTTAATACATCTCAGCATTGTTTTCTGAGAAGATATTTTGAAATCTGCTGATATTCTACAACTCTACCTATCTGACTTTGAAATAGTTTGAAAGACGGTTGTGGGCTTTTTCAGGAGAGAGGTGAAAAAGGGACTTAGCAGATTTTCTATGCCAATAATTTTCCCTTAGATGAAACAAAAACTTTGGAGACCTGTTTCAATACTCATTGCACATCAAAATTGCTTTCTATCCCTAATGCAAGATTTGCATTTGTCTGTTGTGGAGAAAAAACCATGCATCATGTTGGCATTCTGTTTTCATATTCAAGCTGATGCTTCTTTGGATTTGAAAAGCGATGCTGGAAAGAAGCCCAGCCTGAAGTCTGTTAGGGTGGGGGATAACAATCCTATACAGCTGATCAACCAGAGAGGCAGCAGAATGTACGTAAGGTACTGCCTCTGGTGAGTCCGGTGACAAGTGTGACATTATGTATTTCAGAAACAACTAATTTTAGATATTCTTTCCAAAGGAATTTTTACAAGTTCCTCTCACATGCCAGAGTACTAGTCTGAAACATCTGCTGACAGGTGACTCTGTGCACCTGCAAAGGCCATGGAGAGAAAAGCCAGGGAAATGAAGAGGGAGCACCCACTTGCTCAGTGTGCCATGACCTCATCCTGGAAGTTGTTATGGGATGCACCCATGACAATAACTTGGTGATTGCTTTCCAGTTACTGTTGAGCCTTTCATTAAGCTAGGAATAAGCTATAGGAATCAAGCTATAATATGGGATCAAGTCCTGTACAGGAACACACTATCCCATGAGCTGAGCAATAGCCATGGTAAAATCCTGGTAAAAGAGTCATCAAAGGAAAATTGTTTTAACACACAGTGCCCTGCCCAGGCTCAGGATTAACAACCTGGCACTGGAAATAGTGAGCAGCTCAGTGACAAGTGACTTCAAAACAAATCCAGCTATTTAGCCAGAGCTCAAAAGAATAATGCTATGCAGAGGATATAATTCTGGGGGAAATCACCTCTGGATTTCAGCCAAAACCAGACCGTCTAAGGCTTCAATAGCAGCAAAGCAACGTCTAATTTTCTTTAGTGCCCTGACACCAACTAATCGAACCTGTTGTCAGCGACGGAATAGCCGGGACGGTGCTTGTCCCGCCGAAGCCCAGCTGGCGGTGCTGGAGAGCCGAGAACGGCGCCGTGAGATGCTTTAGACTCCTTCAGCTGCGCGGAGCAGCAGATCCTCCCCCATACCAGGGTGTTTTCTCCCTTGTCCGGGGAGTTGCAAAACAAATAGGGAATTAATCAAAATCTTTCTTCTGTTTGCCAGGTGTGGCTCTGCTAAGCAGCTATTTTGTTGCTTCCACCATCTTTTCTTGGTCCATTTTCTATGTCAGATAAAGAATCTCGATACCTTGGGTTTCACCTGTACATTTAATAGTTTACTCATAGAACAGATATTGTTATCATAGTACTTGATACAAACGAAGGGTAATGATTAATGTTTGATGGATAGGGAAACTGATGCTTGGAGACGAAGGGAGACTCGACAAAAAGATACAACCACCTCCAATCTGCCTATGGACAAAACTTCAGCCCTTTAAACTGCGTGTTTCCCAATCTGTTATGCTCAAAATCCACCAGGGAAAAAACGTTCTTAAGTAAGATTTGACCTGGAATTTTATAGGTAATGATTGTATAGCACGAAACACAGGGAAAATCCCCGGAGCCATAGCTGGGATCCAAACTACCTCTGCATTACCAGGGCCAGCCAGCAGGCCACAGCCGTGCTGTGCAAGAGCTGCTGCTGCCTGAGCTCTCTTCTGCAGCTGAGTGTCTCTCCAGCACGGAGGTGCCCTGACTTCCCCCTGTCCTCACCTCCTGGTCTTCTACAGTTTCGTGGCTGAGATGCCCCGAAGTGCGAAACCTATGGTAAAATTCTCTCCAGGGAGACAGGGTTTCAATTCCAGTCTTAATCATTGGGCTATAACATAGAAGGGGAAAAATAAAATAATCAGCACATGCATGCTTGGGAAAAAGACGTGTGCTAACTTCTGTGTATGGGAGTGGAGGCCTGTTGGTAGCTGTCCCCT